AACTTTCTAGATCCACTGCCACTACCTTATTCCGGACCAAAGTCCCAAAGGGAATCTTTTGTAAGGAAAAGAACCTTACAAAAAGGATCAATTTTAAAGTCTTCCCCTTTTCTAAGCAATAGTCACTCCCCAATTAATGTCAGGCTCTAACAACCTTACTTTTCTCTGTTATCCACCAATACATTACACAGAGTCATCTTCCTAACACATAGCTATGAACATATTGATTCTAACAAATCATCTCAGATTCTCCACTGTCTACCCACTGTAACTATAAACTATGGAACATGATATTCAGGATCCTCTTAAATATAGTCACCTTATCAAATAGGATTTCCCTGACCACTTTGTCCAGATAAAACAGTACATTCCTGTCTTACTTTATTTCTCATCCTAGTGCTTGTGACCCCCTGATATATATTTAACTGCTATGTTTACTGACTGTGTCTTTCTACTGTAATATATCCTCCCACGTTCACCCTTTTGTTCACCAGTGTACCCTCAACACTAGAATATATTATATTCTCAACTTGTATTTGTGGAAAGAACAGATGAACACTGACATGCAGTGTACTATAGCTGACTTGAAGTTAGAAGACCTACATTTGAGTTAGTTTCCACACACCAGCTATATAAGCCTCAACAATTTTACCTTCTTTGGGCTTACATTCTTCATGTGTAAAAGGAAAGGGTCAAACTTGATAATCTCTACAACTCTAAGCTTTCCCAGCTATATCACACTACCTTCTTGTCTAACTGGACTGAAAACCTCCCTTCCCCCAACTTCCCTACCTACATAACTCTGCTCAGTTTCCTTCCATTTGGAATTCCCCTCTTCTCAATTCACATCTGTCAAAATGAACATTAAGGATGAACAATATCCGAAGTGCCATTTTCTTTAAGTTTAACTGTAAGGTCTGTAAAAGGAGGGTGGAGTTCTTATTTTTCTATTTTCAGATGTTGGTACAACGCCTCCCATACAGGTGATCAACAAAACAACTAATGAATCATGAGTACATGAATGAGCAAATGAACAAAGTCTTTCCTGATTCCCTCCCATTGCTCAGGTGATCTCCTGCCTTTGGACTCAAAACACTTGGTATCTTTTATTTTTATTTATGTATTTATTTATTTATTGAGACACAGCTTCACTCTTGTTGCCCAGGCTGGAGTGCAATGGCTTAATCTCGGCTCACCACAACCTCCGCCTCCCAGGTTCAAGCGATTCTCCTGCTTCAGCTTCCTGAGGAGCTGGCATTACAGGCACCCGCCACCACGCCCAGCTAATTTTTTGTATTTTTAGTAGAGAAGGCATTTCACCATGTTGGCCAGGCTGGTCTTGAACTCCTGACCTCAGGTGATCCGTCCACCTTGGCCTCCCAAAGTGTTGGGATTACAGGTGTGAGCCACCGTGCCCGGCAACACTTGGTATCTTTCAAGGTCCTTACACTCTGTGCTGTTATTAACTTACTTGCCTAATAGACACTCAACTGCAAATTCCTTAAGACTAATCAGCACCCTGATGGTTTCCATATCTCTCTATAGCACCTACAACAGATCTTTGTCATAGCTGTATTTATTTGAAATATTAAACAACAAAAGAATATTTGAGATGAAAAAAAGGGCCTCAAATTACAGACATCATTCCAACTGTACTATGGTCACTGGGCATATATGTTGTGTTAAAATCAAGCATTCAAGCATAGTTCAAATATCTCATTCTTTCCTCTCCCTATTATGCTTAATAAAACTTTACTACTTTAAAAATTATAATGGCTACCCTATGTATCATGTAACTACACACCTCTTGCAATATACATATAGGGATCCACACACATCAATACGTTCACGTCACTAAACAGATAAAGTGACTTTTCCACTCATTTCAGACTTCAACCTCATCCAACTCCCTCCTCCGCAAGGTATGAAACAAGTTTTTTAAAAACATCTTTCCATAAGGCCTCCCTTTCTTAGTTCTGCTCCTGAAAGACAAAAAGGACCAATTTTAAAGTCTTCCCCTTTTCTAGTCACTCCCCAGTTAATTTCAGGATCTAACAACCTTACTTTTCTCTGTTATCAAGATTTTTGACCCACTTTACCTCTGCCTCCAAGCTCTTACTCAGCTTCCATGGAACCTTTCTGGCTGCACAAAAGCTGGTGTCCTTCCATCCAATATGTTCTCGCCATCATGTACTAAGTTCAACCTATCTACATCTTCTTTCTGAAATGTGCATCAGTAGCCGCCCCCCCACCCCAAACACACATCTCGCATACACACACACTATATCCATGTGTCACTCTACCTCTGACATACCTCTGGTGTAAGTTCCTTACACCACTCTTAATGAATGTACACGACTCTCAGAATGGTATCTTCCAACTACACTGATTCTAACCCAGTTTCTTCTGAAAAACCCAACCTTGTCCACAGTGCCTCCCTCTTTCCTCACTTCCCCATCTAGTCCCCTTCTTCATCCCCTCCCCACACCGCCAACTACAGATGACATTATTCCTTAATACTCCCAACCCGAGAATGAAGAACAAGCTCCAGTTTCCTGCGGTCTCCCTCTCCTTCTGTCTGCCCTCCTCGGTTACCCCGCCCCAACTCCCCAGGTGTGCAGACTTCCTCCCCGTCCTCTACTCATGCATCGCTCCAACCAATCCCACGCCACACCACGAGTCCCCTGCCACGGGGATCAGACTCCTCCACACCCACCTCCACTCGGGGTCGCCGCTGCCTCCCCGGACGTTTCTCTCCACCCCTCGCTAGCAAGCCCGAGACCACGGGCGCGCGCGCACAGACATTCTCACGCTTCCTCAACCTCCCTCCTCGCACCGGGACGAGCAGGCTTCGCCAGAGCTCAGCCCGGCCGGTGGGGGCTTAGGCACCCATACCCGTTCCGCCCCCTCCCGCAGATCCCCATGCAGCCCCCGCCGCCCTGCCCGGCGAGGAGAGGACGCAGCAACTCCCCCGCCACCCCGGACTTACCACCTCGGTGTCTGTTGCTCCATGCCCCAACCCGCGGCCCGCTCCCCCTACGTACCAGGCCGGCCTCGGCACTCACCGGAGGTACTGCGCGCTCTGCAGGCTCATCCTCCGCCGCCGCGTCTTCCCGCGAAGCCTCCGTGGGTCTCTCAGGCTCCTCGGAGCGGCCCCGCGGCACCGCGGGTGCTGGCGGCCGCCGCCATCTTCCTCTCCTCCGGCTCCTCCTCGCTCGGCAAGGGGGTGGGGGTGAATGAGGCGAGGGGGAGGGAGCGGGGAAAGCTGCTTTCGCTGCTGCTCCGGCCCGTGGGGCGCAGGGACACTCCGACCCAGGGGGGGAGGAGGAGGGAGGAGGGGCGGGGGAAAGAGGAGAAGCAGAGGAAGGAAGTCGGCTACGAGGGGGGCTCCCTCTCGCGAGATTTCAGCAGCGCCTGTCTCTCCCGGTGATTTCCGCTTCTCTGTAGCGCTCCCTTTTGGGATCAACAAGCTGTGTGGCGCGTGTGCGGCTTCTGAGCTACCGGCTGGTGGCGCTTGGAGGCTTCCTGCCAATCCACCCTTCTCCTCCCGCGCAAGGGGGCAATCCCAACCCCACCAAGAACACCGAGGCCCAAAGAACCGGGAGTTACACTCAAAGTCTTCCCCCTTCTTATCACTCCAGCGGATTTCTCTCTTCCTTTTTGCACGCCTCCACTCTTCCCCACCGGAAACGCCGCCCCTTCCTCCTACAGTTCCTCCCAGCAGTCCCTCGACTCTTGTCTTCTCTCGCGCGTAGAGAGTGACTCGAAGGACCCCCTTTCCTCTTCTCTGCAGCCCCTCCCCATGCACGCTGGGAGACTCTTGGAGGGGATAAGGTGGGGCCCGGAGAGGAAGAGAAAAGAAAAGAATCGGATTGGATAGACAGCTGCCATGGCAACTGGAGGCTGTGGTTGTATTGTCATAGTAACCAGTGTGTGCAGACAGGGTGACCCTCCCCTTGGCCAATGGATTCCCTGGAAACCGCCCAGGGTTCCCCGTTGGCATCCCTTCCATCTAAAGGCCTCCCCCAAGTTAGGAATAGAGGTAGTTCTCCCCGGTGGTGAAGTCCACTTCCTCCTCCCTTCCCACTTCTCACAGCAACTGGGGGGACACCCCGAGACATTCACCATGGGCTTTTCCACCCGCCTGCAGGCGGGAACCACCTCCATAGTTTCCTCTCAGAGCCGGGCGTGGAGAGGGCTGGGCCTGCGAAGAAGATGCATGGCCTGGAGGCTGGCGGGCGGCGGGCTGGAGTCGGGAGAGCGAGGCGGCAGTGCCAAGCGGCGAGGAAGGGCAAGGGGTTTCCCCACAACTGCCTTGGGCTCTGGGAGGCGGGATCCCGCCTGAACGGGGTCCCTGAGGGAGGAGAGCGGCACACGACAGCCGTGATGCCTCCCCTGCCGACGGGGATAGCCGACTTTTGGCGAGTCAACCCCTCCCCCAAATCCACCCCACCCGCGTACTCCCTCCTGACCTAGCTGTCGCGATCCTGCTGCGAGGCCAGGGTGAGGGTAGGAATGCATCCTAGAAGGGTAACACGTGTTTTCTATCATTTAAGTCGGGGACTAACCGGAAGGCTGACTATCGCCATAACTCTGATAGGCACCCGCAGTGGGGATCCTGCTTGATTATTAAAGGCAGACCTCCAAGTTCCTCCCTCCTCTGCAACCTTTCTCCTCTCACGGGTCTGCAGTGTTTTAAAAGTCGTCATTCTGTGTCGTTGGGTTAGAGAGGGAAACATTGGATAAAAGAGTATCAGGAAGAACCCTAGACAGATCTGTCTGATGAAAGGAGACTAGGAAAAGAAATTTCATTCTTAGAATAAATCTTTTTGGATATTTATTATGTGTGTTTTGTGTCAGGTTTCGGGCCAAAAAGCTGAAATAAAGAACGAAGTCAATAATAATATGGAGTATACGAGAAATAGCTGGAAAATTCATCATTCATGGCTTGAAGAAATTGACCTTTTACAAGTTATATTTTCGGTTCGTATTGTGGAGTCATTTAAGGAGCTATCCCAAAATACTTTAGGATATGTAACTATATAAAACCTTCCAAGAATGCAGCCCTCATAGGAGAGTTAAAATAAGGATTTTAATGGACTATTTTGATTTGGTTTGGTCTGGTTTGGCTACCTGATTCCTGCTGTCTTTTTCCATGCCAGCCAGAGAGGCACTTTCAAGATCCTTCCCTGAAACCTGTACCAATAAGACTATACCAATGTTCAGTTGAAACATCAGGTATAAGTTTGGCGGAAGCGAAAGGACAACCTGCTTTGAAATAAATTCCAAGGACAGATTGTCATTAACGAAATAGAAATTGGACTATGCCCCTCATGCTGCCAGCGCCTGGTATGATGCGGCGTGACGCGCAGCGCTTGCGGCAGTACAATGCCCTCAATCACCCGCCCGGCACCGACGCGCCGCCCACTCACGGCAAAGAGAGCCACCTAGTGAGGGATTATTCTCATTTCCGCGGTGAGGTTCTGCTTTTCCTTCTTCCATGAGCGCCCAAGGATAGATTCCTACTACCTATTACCTCAAATAGCCTACATTTCTTTCCGAAAATGTATTGGTTAGATCTTTTTCTTTTTCTTTTTTTTTTTTTTTAACTTAAAGACCAATGTGATAGTATATTGGTTAGATTTTTTAAAGATTTCAACCAGAATAAAAATGGTAATAATTACCCCCTTACTAATTATGGTAATAGCCATTTATGTCTGTGGCACATATCTCCAGTAAAGAGTGTATGAAGGCCAGGCGCGGTGGCTCACGCCTGTAATCCCAGCACTTTGGGAGGCAGAGGCGGGTGGATCACGAGGTCAGGAGATCGAGACCATCCTGGCTAACATAGTGAAACCCCGTCTCTACTAAAAAAATACAAAAAAATTAGCCGGGCATGGTGGCAGGCACCTGTAGTCCAAGCTACTCGGGAGGCTGAGGCAGGAGAATGGCTTGAATCCAGGAGGCGGAGCTTGTAGTGAGCCGAGATCGCGCCACTGCACTCCAGCCTGGGCGACAGAACGAGACTCTGTCTCAAAAAAATAAAAAGAGTGTATGAACAGTTATCATACATTCCTGATAAGCAATCTAGGAAAATATTGCAACTATCTTCTCATTGTGGAAATAGAGAAATGGATCAGAAAGATGAATCCTTTTGTTAGGGTTTGCTGATTTATTCCATAAACATTTACTGAGTACTTATTGTATTTCAGATACTGTTCTGGTTATGATGGATACCACAATGAAAGAGACCTGGTCCCTGTCTTGAGGGAACCCACCTGCTTGTAGAGATCTCAGAGTGATGATCAGGATGCAATATAAGGGATGCAGTAATTGGGGTAAGAACAAAGTAGGAACACATGAGGTCAGAAATAATCTGTGTTTTATAGCAGCTTTCCTAAGAATTTTATAAGACTCTTCAATAGCTTTACAATATCTCTAGCTAAATAGAAGAATAGCAGCATATTTTAGAGATTAGAAGACTTTGATACTAATATTTAAATTACTTTCAAAAATCAATAGGACTCAGAAAAATTATTACCTTCTATTTATATACTGTTTAATACACATTTTCTAATTTCATCTATTTCTACTTGCCCTAGTCAACAAACTTGTAGAATTACAGACATCTTTCTTTCTGCAATAGATATTGTTCACCTTTTTCCCCTGCAGATATAAGATCACATCTAAACCAAAAAAAAAAAATTAAAGAGAAGCTTCCTTACTTACATTAATCCTACCAGATTTTAAGATTTTGGGTTTGTCTTTTTGGCTAAGTGATTTCATGGAAAGATCACAAGCTAATGGACCTGAGTATGCATTCTAACTCTGCCATCTTGATTTCTGAACTTCAGTTTGCTCCTTGACCAAAATGGAAGCATTACCTGTTATAGGCTTCCTGTGACCTTTAATGATGACATACATGATTGAGTGCCCATTATACAACACTGGACTTGATAAATGTTAATTTTTTTCTGCCCTTTTTTTTTTAAATTGAGACAGAGTCTTACTCTGTCACCCAGGCTGGAGTGCAGTGGCACAATTTCAGCTCACTGCAACCTCTGCCTCCTGGGTTCAGGCAATTCTAATGCTTCAGCCTCCCAAGTAGCTGGGACTATAGGTGTGCGCCACCATGCCTGGCTAATTTTTGTATTTTCAGTAGAGACAAGGTTCACCATGTTGGCCAGGCTGGTCTCAAACTCCTGACCTCAAGTGATCCGCCTGCCTTGGCCTCCCAAAGTGCTGAGATTATGGGTGTGAGTCACCTTGCCTGGCCCCTTTTGCTCTTTTATATCAAGCTAAAATGAGTAAAATAGAACTACTACAGCATAACGTTATTTTTTAAAATAATACTCTATCTAGTCTTTTTTTTTTTTTTTTTTTTAATAGAGATTCAGTCTCACTGTGTTGCCTAGGCTGATCTCTAACTCCTGGCCACAAGCAGTCCTCCTACCTCAGCCTCACAAGTAACTGGGATTTTAGGTGCGAATCACGTACCCAGCTCTCAATCTAGTCTTTGTCTGTAATACTCATAGGTCTGAACTCACATTCAAATCTATTGGTGTTCAGTACTAGAAGATAGATTTCTTTATCCATGGCTCTGATTATAGAAAAGAACACAATATTAGGACATTGTGAGTCAGATGCTAGAGATTTAAAACTTTTCAAAAATCTTTTATCACATAAGACAGCCTAATATAACCACACTTCTGTCCAAGTAAATAGAATGGCCTCTTTTCAATCAAACATTGGTACTTGCTGAGAAGCTACTCTTAACATTCTTACCAAATTTACCCAGAGCTTTGGTAACCTGACAATTAATACATAGCAGGCCTCCTCCCTTTTTGTAATAATAGACAGCCTGTTCCATGACATCATAACAAGCCCTAATTTATTTTTATATTTAGCCTACATATTCTGAATGTTTCTAAATCCTGTGCACAATTAGGAACTTGGTAAATCATTCTCATCAAAGTAGAAACACATTTATTATCAATTGCATACTCAGTACACAATGTGTGTGAAGCTAGCCATTCATTCCTCTTCAGTATCACACCTCAGACCATAGAGTTAAGTGATTCAATCAAATGAGTAATTCATTATCTTCAAATAGTGAGTCAGATACAAATTGACATTTAAATTCAGGTCTCCTGTTGCTCAAGATTTCTTAGATCAAGGGTCAGTAGCCTTCAAACAATTTGCAAAGCGTATACTTATTCATTCACCCTAAAGAGGGATTCTTTTACCCTGAAGAATAGTCAGGAACCATTGTAGTCCAAGATTGAAGAAAAGAAACTTCTGATATGGGAAGCAGTGAGGTGACAGTTGGGGAACAATATTCAGAGCTTTCTCTCCCCCTTCACTTCTCCATTCTCCTAGTATTTACTAAGGGAAATCTTATTATCTTCAAGGTTCCCCAACTCACAATAAGCAATACCTCTGAGAAAGTACCACACCTAAAATTCTTATCTGCGGATTTAATGGACACAATCTGGAGAAGACAAGAAGAGATGCTCATAGGGAAGATTGAAAAGTATTGAAAAACCAAAATAAAAACCCTAACCTCTCTTACTTTATTGGCAGAAGGCCTTAGTGTTCATGCATCTCTTTACTACCCCAAGCACAGTACTTACTGAAATCATCTTGGGGGTCCCTAATCTAACAGCAACATATTTCATGTCAAAGTCTGTTGAGTTACCCAGAAGTTGCCATATTTTTCTTAAAACACCCAACTAAAATAACATAATCTTTTAATATTTTCTAGTTTCTACTTCCCTAACTTTTATCAGGTAGATACTACTTTGGAGCACTAAGAATGTGATACTGATATTCATTGTCATAAATCTGTTCTTCAAAATCAGGGGAAACATGTACATGCATATACACATGTACACACTGATATGGTTTGGCCCTGTGTCCCTGCCCAAATCTCATCTTGATTTATAATCCCCACATGTTGAGGGAGGGACCTGTAATCCCCATGTGTCCAGGGAGGGAGGTGATTGGATCATGGGGGTGGTTTCCCCCATGCTGTTCTCATGATAGTGAGTGAGTTCTCACAAGATCTTATGTTTTTATAAGTGTTTGAAACTTCCTCCTTTGTTCGTCTCTCCCTGCTGCCTCCTAAAGAAGGTGCCTGCTTCGCCTTCCACCATGATTGTAAGTTTCCTAAGGCCTCCCCGACTATACAGAATTGAGTCAATTAAACCTCCTTTGCTTATAAATTATCCAGTCTTGGGTAGTATCTTTATAGCAGTGTGAAAATGGACTAACACACACCTTCCTCTTTTCCCTAACATTATTATTGTACCAATGCAATTTCTAGTGAAGTTAAAATGTGATAAAGATGAAAAGCAAAGAAACTTAGGACTTAGGTCCCTCACTTCAAGGCATACTAAGAGTATGTATCCAAGCACTTTTTTGCTTTGCTTTACAATCCCAGGGTCTTTTCTATTCTCAGAAAACTTACATATCAAAAACCTGGATAGTTTGTCCCATATTTGTAAAAGTTCTTTTTTTTTTTTTTTTTTTTTTTGAGACAGGGACTTGCTGTGTTGCCCAGGCTGGAGCATAGTAGCATGATCATAGCTCAATGCAGCCTCAACCTCCTGGGCTCAAGTAATCCTCCTGCCTCAGCCTCTTAAGTAACTGGGACTACAGGCTTCCCTCACCATGCCGAGCTAATTTTTTTATTTTTTGTAGAGATGGGGGTCTCCTTATGTTGCCCAGGCTGGTCTCAAACTCCTGGGCTCAAGAAGACCTCCCGCCTTGGCTTCCCAAAGTAATGGGATTACAGGTGACCACCTCACCTGGTCATATTTGTAAAAATTCTTAATATTAGCCTGGCACAGTGGCAGGTGCCTATAATCTCAGCTACTCAGGAGGCTGAGGCAGGAGGATCACTTGAGCCAATGAGTTTGGGGCCAGCCTGTGCAACATAGCAAGACTCCATCTTAAAAACAATTCTTAATGTTATTGGATTAAGATGTAAGAATACATTCTGGAACAAATTAAATAATAAATTAATGGGTACATATATTCCATATTTTAGCTATGTTAAGCTCTTTAAAAAGTTTTTTCCCCTGGCTTTAAGTCTCCATTGCTTTTCCATTACCCTTAGGATAAAGTTTCCAATCCTTACCATGACCTCTGTTCTGGTCTCTGCCTGCCTCTTCTCTGACAACCCTCCCCACCCCCGGTATCACCACTCTAGCTAGAGTGACCTTCTGTTAGGTCCTCAAATAAGCAGTGTTCTTTTCTTCTCAGAGCCTTTAGATAAGTTGTTCCCTCTATCTAGGTAGTTCTTCTCCTCAGACGACTCTTATGTCTTCCTATGCTTCAAGCCTAAATCCGAACTTCTTTGGATGAGCTTTCTCTACTTTCCAACCCCCAACCATTAGGCTAAGTTAGCTAAACTGGTTATATGTTCCCATAGCACTCTGTCCTTCTTTTTCGTGGCATTTGTAAGTCTTTCATGTTTGTAAATCTTTGTTTAACATCTGTTACCTCCACTTGTAAGCTCTGTAAGAGTAGATGCTGTGCCTATTTTGCTTATTCTTGTATTATCACTTCCCTAGCAGAACACCAGATACAAGGAATGCTCAATAAATGTTCATTAAGTCAATGAATTAAAAAACAAAAACAAATTAATAGAAATTTGGTAGCTGGGTACAATGGCTCACACCTGTAATCTCAGCACTTTGGAGGCCAAGGTGGAAGGTTGCTTCAGTCCAGAAATTCAAGACCAGCCTGGGCAACATAGTGAAACAAAAAACAAGTTGGACCATGTATTCTTTAGAATTAATCCTAAAGCAGTAAGAAAAGAATTTTGTTGGGCCTTCAACTAATCTCAGTAATTGAAATTGCTATTACATTTAACAAGATTAAAGTTTTAATTAAATGAAATATTTAAGCAATGAGTAAAGTGCACACTTACAAGATGAAGGATAACTCATCAGTTATTTCACACCAGAGTCTCAGACTTCAGTGTAGAAAAACAATCTTCAACGTCCAAATTATTTTTATTTAACTTTATGTTTTTAAATTTGAAATTAGATGAAGCAGTTAATTCTTTCGTTATGTGGCAGGAGAGGGTGCTAGGGAAGGATGGCAAAAGAGAAGAGAGGCTATCAGCTAATTAGAATGTAATATAAAAAATTACCTTTAAATTTTCGCAAAGAAAATTGGATCGGGGTGTAGAATGGAAAGCTCAGTGGTCTCTATTTTTCACCAGAAAAGTGTTTATAAATTCTAGCATTATTATTGTTAATTTTTTTGCCTGTAATAGGATAGGGTTAAGTAAACTCAATGTAGGATTTTAAGGAAAGGGCTATATCCAATTTCAAAGTAAATGTGATAATTAAGTTTCTGGAGGCAGGTTCTGAATTCAATTCAATTAAATAAGGCATATAACATATGTAAGCAGCCTGGCACTTAGTAGACACTCAACAAATGCTCTTACTGTATATAAAGGGTGAATAAGAACTGCATACACACTAATTAATGTAGGTTAAATGCACCTTTAAAAACAAGTACAAAATGCTGTAGAGGTACACAGCATACTGCCTCAAAACTATATGACCAGTTTTATCATATGACCAACTTTCCTTCCTTCCTTCCTTCCTTCCTTCCTTCCTTCCTTCCTTCCTTCCTTCCTTCCTTCCTTCCCTCCCTTCTTTCCTTCCTTCCTTCCTCCCTTCTTTCTCTTTCTTTCTTTCTTTTTTCTTTCTTTCTCTCTTTCTCTCTTTTTTTCTTACCCTGCCCTGCCCTGCCTTCTCCTCCCCTCTCCTCCCTTCCCCTCCCCTCTTCCCTCTCCTCTCCTTTCTTTTCTTTCCTTTCCTTTTCTTTTCTTTTTTCTCTTTCTTTTCGACAGGGTCTCACTCTGTTGCCCAGGCTGGAGTGCAGTGGTGTAATCACAGCTCACTGCAGCCTCAACCTCCTGGGCTCAAACAATTCTCCCACCTCAACCTCCCAAGTCGCTAGGACAACAGACATGCACCACCATGCCCACCTAATGTTTTTTATTTTTGAGGTCTCACTGTGTCACCCAGGCTGGTCATGAACTCCTGACCTCAAGTGATCCTCCCAACTCAGCCTCCCAAAGTGCTGGGGTTACAGGTGTGAGCCACCATGCCTGACCAGTATAAATTCTTTCATCTATTTCTGAAGGATATCTTAGTTCATTAGCTGTTCTATATTTGAATGAAATGAGAGCCAAGATCTCGTGCAAAGCTAAAGAGGATAAGGAGGCTTCTACGGAGCAAAACCAGCTGCTTATGCTTTCCCCTGACCTCTTTCAAACTAACGCCTCTGGAATGGCTCTGGCTTGCATGCTGTGTCTCATTCTCTTGCTCTTTCAACCATTGGCTATAATGTTCCCATTATGGTCCTCCAAGTCATCCATTTCTTTGTCCAAGAGGACATGCATGGTTTTAGTTTGGTTTTTGTTGTTGTTTTGAGACAGGGTCTCTCCCTGTCACCCAGGCTGTAGCGCAGTGGCATAATCACAGCTCACTGCAGCCTCAACCTGCTAGGCTCAAGCCATTCTCCCACCTCAACCTCCTGAGTAGCTGGGGCTACAGGCACACGCCACCACGCCTGGCTAATTTTTGTGTTTTTAGTAGAGATGGGGTTTCATCATTTTTCTCAGGCTGGTTTTGAACTCCTGGGCTCAAGCGATCCACCTGCCTTAACCTCCCAAAGTGCTGGGGTTACAGGCATAAGCCACTGCACCCCACCAGTTTTAGTTCTTTAACAATGTCCCTATAGGTAAGACCAAGACCAGAGGGCATGCCAAATAATTGGAATGCCAACATTTCCGAAATATAGGCATCAGTGGGCTAGATGTTACAGAAGGTTACCAGCTGTAGAAAGAAGCTGAAATTAATTTTCTCTAAGTGTTTGAGGAATAGTCAAATTTTAGCATGAAAGCACAGTGTGAATGTTAGGTAGAGTTGAGTTTAATATCTATAGAGAATATTCAATTGATGGTGATCAATTCCTATCTTTCTCTGCCTTTTCAAGACAAATCTATATCGAAACTAAAACTTTACTTCTGGGAATCTTAATCTTGGTGTATCCTGCTACTATGGAGAAGTTTGATGAGTTGTGTATCCTCTAGAATTTTAGTATTTAGTAATTTATTCAATCTTTCATTCAGTTTTCTTAAATAGAATTTTCATTGTATCAGGTCATATGCTAGTCCTTAGGGTGCAAATGGTGAACGAAACAGTCCTGCTCTCAGAGCTTAAGGTTTAAAAGACAGTTAAGTAAAAGGGAAGTTATATTATAGAGTGATAAATGCTGTGGTAGAAGTCTTTGGAACCATTCCACTTGAGATCAAGTACAGACATGCAATCAGGTAATCCACTTAAGTGTCCCAGTCAACTGTGAAGTCCTTCAGAATGAGATTATGCAGAGTTTACTTGTTCACATTCTATTTCCCAGCAGGAAAAGGAATACACACAGCTCTTCGTACCATAAAAGTGATGGAAAACCATGGCTAAAAGTATACTAAATTATGCCTGAAAGATACAAAACTATATACATAAAGTTCAACTATGAAATAGAATTAC